TGATATCAGAATTTAACGTAGCATCTGAATGTGTAATGATATACAGGGCGTTCTATTTTAAAAAATGGAATTTTGGTCTGTAGCACCTACACCAAACACCCTGTATATTTAAAAATTATATCAAAATATAGCTCTCATGAACTCCTAAAACTTTTGTATGAAACATTTTTGTGTATCTCCTACAACAAACTAGATATTGCTTGTCACATAAAATGTGGGACACCCGGTATATAGCACAAATCAAGGAGAATGTAGTCAGTATTAAAACGCTTTAGAAAGTTTTCGTATTGCGAAGAACGTTTTGCGGTTTTGTAAACAATAAACTGTTACTTGAGTAAATCGTTACGTTTTGTCGCACCGTGTAAACCAGCCTTTAGTAGAAAGTAATCGTGTTCGTTCAAGTGTAACCTTCTATGCCTACGTGCTCAACTCACCTCCGCGGCAATATAGGCAGGAATAACGCTCAGCAGCAGTTGTTCCTGCTGCTCCTTCTCGCATTCCAGCTTCACTCTGGATTCGATGCACGTCCGAGTGCCGACGAAAGTCCTTCGATGCGCCTCTTCCGTCATATGGCGATAATAGAGACCAGTGCAACTGGCAGCTAATAGCATCACCGCCTCCGGGACCAACTGAAACAAGGAACGAGTGCCGCTAAAGGGTTGATGATGCTAATAGTGGACTTTCCGCCCCATTTCACGAGGGTGTCTTATGTAATTGAGGCTCAACATAATGATACAGAGCAGAAGTATGTGAAAGCGAGAAAGGAAATATTGTTTTCTACATGAAAAATGATTTGAAAACGATGTATCGGGGGATGTATTGAGGTAAATTTTAAGGGGTTGAGAAATGGATGAAAATTTATACAAAAATTTTGAGAAATATCAAAATCTGCAACTTTTGGAACAATAATTTTTCCATATCACCTGAAATGGGGTGAGTTTTAGGGGTTGAAAAAGTTTTTATATGGGTTTCTCTAAAACTAGACATTCCACTGAAAGAGTTTGAGAAATATCAAAATCTACAACTTTCGGATTGTCCATTTTCCATATTACCTGAGATGAGGTGAATTTTAGGGGTTGAAAATATTTTATTTATGATTTCATCTGAATTCAGGCATTCTATTGAGGAATTTTAGATACAGATGTTTGAGAAAATACCAAAATCTGCAACTTTTCAATCAACCATTTTTATGTATTACCTGAAATTGGTTGAAAATGCTTTTTCATAATTTTCTCTGAAACCAAACATTCTACTGAAAAATTTTTCAAACAAAAGTTTGAGAAAATATCAAAATCTGCAATTTTCGAATCGATCATTTTTCCATATTATCTGAAATGGGGTGAGTTTTAGAGGTTGAAAATGTTTTTTCATGGTTTCCTCTGACACCAGACATTGTACTGAAAATTTTTAGTACAAAAGTTTCAGAAATTATCAATCTGCAACTTTTGAATCAACCTTTTCTTCATCTTACCTGAAATAGGGTGAATTTAAGAGGTCCGGTTTCAGTTATTTCCACTGAAACCGGACCAATAATTAATAACGATTATTATGTATTCATAAGTTTCAGAGAATATCGAAATCTGCAATTTTTTAGTCGCCAATTTTTCCATATTACCTGAATTGGGTAAGTTTTAGAGGTTGAAAATGTTTTTTCATGATTTCCTCTAAAACCAGACATTTTACTGAAATATGTTGAATACATGAGTTTCAGAGAATATCAAAATCTGCAACTGTTAAGTCGACCATTTTCCCATATCACCTGAAACGAGGTGAATTTTAGGGATTGAAAATATTTTTTCATAATTTTCACTGAAACTATACCTTCTAGTGAAAATAGTTGAATGAAGAAGTTTCAGAGAATATCAAAATCTGCAACTGTTAAGTCGACCATTTTCCCATATCACCTGAAACGAGGTGAATTTTAGGGATTGAAAATATTTTTTCATAATTTTCACTGAAACTATACCTTCTAGTGAAAATAGTTGAATGAAGAAGTTTCAGAAGGAAAAAAGTTAGTGATAACCATTTCTCCAAATTACCTGAGATTTTACTAGAACAACAACCTTTCGCGGTCTTTTTTTTCTGTAATTTTTCAATCCAAATCTTCAGAATGACAGTGTTACATCTAAAAAAATATATTATTTTTGAAAAATCATGTTTTAAAAATAGGTTTTTCAAATCAACAATGACATTTTTTCAACAACTGAATTATTTGCTTTCGAATGGTGTGAGAAATAGTACCTATCATTATTATGGAGAAACTTACTGAAATAAACTCATTTCATATTTTTTGTGTTCCACATATTCTTTCAAGTAATTCAGTAGTTTCACTCTTCAAATGACGATTGATGATAAAAAAATATCAGAAACGTTACAGTGGTTTCTCTCCTACTCGAATGATAGCAATTTTTAATGATTACCAGTGTATAGAAAAATCCAAACACTCACCTGCAGGTAATAGGAATGACTCCCGGCACTGATCCTGTACGCTATCGACGTCGCCAAATGCGCGACAGTAACGATAGTCGCCAATGCCAGAGCCACTGGCCGCGCGACCGGTAGCATCGTGTGAATGGCGATTAAGAGAGCGAACAATGGCAAGGGAGCGTGACGACCTGCTAGTAGTAGCATCGCCGTGGTAGCCGCGATGATTATGATGAGAGAGGAAAGCAGGGACCAAGCTTCTGACTCCAACACGATGGGGAACTGAGAGGCCAGCAAAACCACGATCAGAGTGAACGTCAGAACGGACATTGTGGTCACGGAGACGATGCTTTTGTTGAGATCCTGCAAAAAAAAGGTTGTTAGTAATGTATGTTTCAAAAATGCGCAAACTAATCAATGGGTTGCCAAATTTATTTTATTTTATGCATTTGACTTCAGGAGGTGNTCACTCTCACTCTCACTCTCACTCTCCCTCTCCCTCTCCCTCTCCCTCTCCCTCTCTCTCTCTTCATTCTCTCTCTCTCCCTCCCTCTCTTGCACTCCCTCCCTCTCTCTCTCTTGTCTGTTTGTTTGGTTTGTAACTCTCCTTTTCTTTTCATATTTATTTCCGTTTGAATGCTAGAGATCTGTATTTGACAGAATCATCGACATTATTGCTTGATCTATCTATTACTTACTTACTAACCAATTCGGAACATAAATCAAACATAAATCAAATCAACACTCAATAAATCAATCGATGCAGGAGATCGTAAGTTAGGGTTTTGCAACTCCTAACCGTCAACTGTCAACAAGGTGTTTCTTATCTCCGTCATGAGAAGCAATCTGAAGTTAACTGTTAACGAGAATACCGCCCTTATCTACCCTCTTTGTTGGAAATCAACCCTGCAAAGGGTCCAGCACACTTTAATAAGGCATAGAAGAGGGACGTGACAATGCAACTCCAATATTTTGAAGAGCTATCGAGATTTGAAATCCGCGCTACACGACAATTCGAATTCCTTCTTCCTCGGGATTTATCAGGAAGGAACTTTTATTCACTCGGAATTTCAGGGCGCAAAAGGTTCTTTTCTGGGAGAGGATGTTTCATATTTCTCATCTCGAGTTGAATGATGCTCATTTCCTGAAGAATTTGGAGTATGCTCAAAATATGGCACTCCTTTAATATATCAAATTTTGATCCAACAAGGCATTGGACTACAGGCTGATTCACGGTGGATAGCACATTAGACGTTTCTGGTGAACCAGACAACGGAACACTTTGAAAATTTAATGGAGGGCATATTCGGACATTCTCTAGCCAACTAAAATATTTTCGACAATGCGGTGTTGCCGCTTCTATTAGAAAGCAGTAGCAACTTTGATTTTTCAAATGGAACACTCTGTATATAATATTATTTTTGGAATCTCCAACAATTGCCCGACAACTTTTCTTGATATTTC